CACTCCAGCCTGAGCAACAGAGCCAAATCCTGTCTCAAAAATAAAATATAAATTAAAAAGACAAACTGTTTTTAATGTGAAGGATGGAACTAGGTCAGAAATGGGCATAGCAGTTTAAGACACCAATGCAGTAGTACAAAAAAATATGAGCGCCTAAATTAAGGCAGTGAAAGGGGGGAGGTAACAAATGAGAGAGGTATTTTGGAAGCAGAATCTTAAAATGTAGTGATTGACCAGTGGTATCCAAAATTCGAGGAGAAATCTAGGCTAACTCCCAGACTTCTGGTTCCTACCACTGGGTGAGTCATACTGCCATCAGCGGAGATAAAGAAGTTGGTGTGGTTAGATAATGAGTTCGGTTTTGGATAAGGGAGTCACATTTGTGATGGCTATGCGGCATAAGGTAAAGATATCTAATACAGCATTAGAACTGGTTCCCAAAACTCATCGGAGATAGGGATTTAGGAGTCATGATGATGTAAACTGTAGCTGAAGACAAGGGGCTGGTTCTGATTCACTCAAAGAAGAATACAGAGAGAGAGAAGAGGGAGAACACAGAACCCAGGAAAACCCAGATGTTTAAGGAGTAAAGAGAAACAATGCTGGAAAGCTGAGGACAGAGTTGTAGGACAGCCAAGAAAAAGTCTTTGGAAATCTTGGGTGAAGGTGAGTAACAAGAACATTTATTTTCCCAGAGAAAAGAGAAATGCAATTAGGGGCATAAATCGAAACAATATTTCTGTAAAGTCTTTTGGTAACGTATAGTTAACAAAGGCCTCTAAGATGCCCACATCACGACACAGTAATTCTACGTCTAAGAATATATTGCAAAGAAGCAATCAGAAATCCTGACAGTGGCTTATTACAAAAATGTTGCTCACGGCATTATTTATAATAGCAACAAAATGGAAGTACTTTAAACATACGAAATAAATTACTGTATATCCATACAACAAAGATTATGAGCCATTTAAAATTTATATTCATGGATAATTTAAGTGATAAAAATGCTCACGATATTCAGTATTTTGAAAAAAGCAAGATGCAATTCTGCATATTCAGTTAACTACACAATATAAAAATGCACAGGGCGGGCCGGGCATGGTGGCTCAAGCCTGTAATCCCAGCACTTTGGGAGGCCGAGGCGGGTAGATCACGAGGTCAAGAGATTGAGACCATCCTGGTCAAAATGGTGAAAACCCGTCTCTACTAAAGATACAAAAAATTAGCTGGGCGTGGTGGCGCGTGCCTGTAATCCCAGCTACTCAGGAGGCTGAGGCAGGAGAATTGCCTGAACCCAGGAGGCGGAGGCTGCAGTGAGCCGAGATCGCGCCATTGCACTCCAGCCTGGGTAACAAAAGCGAAACTCCGTCTCAAAAAAAAAAAAATTTTTTTTTTTGAGACAGAGTCTTATTCCTGTTGCCCCGGCTGGTGGGCCATGGCAGGATCATGGCTCACCACAGCCTCGACTTCCCAGGCTCAGGTGATCCTCCCACCTCAGCCTCGAAAAATGCTAGGATTACAGGTATAAGCCAGTGGACCCAGCTTTTTTAAGAATTAAAATCTATTTTGAGATATCTCACTGTGGTTTTAATTTGCAGTTCCCTAATGGCTAATGATGGTTAACGTCTCTTCACGTGGTTACATGCCATCTGTATATCCTCTTCAGTGAAATGTTCCTTCATATCTTTTGCCATTTTCTAATTAGATTATCTTGGGTTCTTTAATATTGAGTCTGGGATTATTTATATATTCTAGACAGTAGTCTTTTACTGGATATGTGGTTCAAAAATATTTTCTCCCAGTTTGTAGTTTGCCTTTCAGCCTTTTCACATGGTCTTTAGCAGATCAAAATGTTTAGTTTTTATGAAGCCCAACTTACTTTTTCCTTTTCTAGATCATACTTTTGGTATCATGTCTCAGAACTCTCTGCTTAGCTCTATATCCTAAAGATTCTCTCTTGCCATTTTCTAATGTCTCGGAACTCTCTGCTTAGCTCTATATCCTAAAGACTCTCTCTTGCCATTTTCTAATGTCTCGGAACTCTCTGCTTAGCTCTATATCCTAAGGATTCTCTCTGCTTAGCTCTATACCCTAAGGATTCTCTCTTGCCATTTTCTAATGTCTCAGAACTCTCTGCTTAGCTCTATATCCTAAAGACTCTCTCTTGCCATTTTCTAATGTCTCAGAACTCTCTGCTTTGCTCTATATCCTAAAGACTCTCTCTTCCCTTTTTCTAATGTCTCGGAACTCTCTGCTTAGCTCTATATCCTAAAGATCCTCTCTTGCCATTTTCTAATGTCTCGGAACTCTCTGCTTTGCTCTATACCCTAAGGATTCTCTCTTGCCATTTTCTAATGTCTCGGAACTCTCTGCTTTGCTCTATATCCTAAAGACTCTCTCTTGCCATTTTCTAATGTCTCGGAACTCTCTGCTTAGCTCTATATCCTAAGGATTCTCTCTGCTTAGCTCTATACCCTAAGGATTCTCTCTTGCCATTTTCTAATGTCTCGGAACTCTCTGCTTAGCTCTATATCCTAAAGATCCTCTCTTGCCATTTTCTAATGTCTCGGAACTCTCTGCTTTGCTCTATACCCTAAGGATTCTCTCTTGCCATTTTCTAATGTCTCGGAACTCTCTGCTTAGCTCTATATCCTAAAGATCCTCTCTTGCCATTTTCTAATGTCTCGGAACTCTCTGCTTTGCTCTATACCCTAAGGATTCTCTCTTGCCATTTTCTAATGTCTCGGAACTCTCTGCTTTGCTCTATACCCTAAGGATTCTCTCTTGCCATTTTCTAATGTCTCGGAACTCTCTGCTTAGCTCTATATCCTAAAGATTCTCTCTTGCCATTTTCTAATGTCTCGGAACTCTCTGCTTAGCTCTATACCCTACAGATTCTCTCTTGCCATTTTCTAATGTCTCGGAACTCTCTGCTTTGCTCTATATCCTAAAGACTCTCTCTTGCCATTTTCTAATGTCTCGGAACTCTCTGCTTAGCTCTATATCCTAAAGATCCTCTCTTGCCATTTTCTAATGTCTCGGAACTCTCTGCTTTGCTCTATACCCTAAGGATTCTCTCTTGCCATTTTCTAATGTCTCGGAACTCTCTGCTTTGCTCTATACCCTAAGGATTCTCTCTTGCCATTTTCTAATGTCTCGGAACTCTCTGCTTAGCTCTATATCCTAAAGATTCTCTCTTGCCATTTTCTAATGTCTCGGAACTCTCTGCTTAGCTCTATACCCTACAGATTCTCTCTTGCCATTTTCTAATGTCTCGGAACTCTCTGCTTTGCTCTATATCCTAAAGACTCTCTCTTGCCATTTTCTAATGTCTCGGAACTCTCTGCTTAGCTCTATATCCTAAAGATTCTCTCTTCCATTTTCTAAAAGCTTTTTTAGTTCCATGTTTTACATATAAGTCCATGATCCATTTTCAGTTAATTTTTATATAAAATGTGAAGTTTAGGTCAGAGTTTTTCTTTTTTTCCTTTTCTTTTCTGACGGCTATCCAGTTGCTCCAGCACCATTTATTTAAAAGGCTACCTTTCCTGCACTGAATTGCTTCTGCATCTTTATAAAAAATCAGTTGGGCAATGGCTAATCAATACAGCATTTTTATTTATTTTGAGAGGGAGTTTCTATATTGTTGCCCAGGCTGGAGTGCAATGGCACGATCTCGGCTCACTGCAACCTCCACCTCCCAGGTTCAAGCGATTTTCCTGCCTCAGTCTCCCAAGTAGCTGGGATTACTGTCATGGGCCACCACACCAGCTATTTTTTGGGGGGGGGATATATTTAGTAGAGATGGGGTTTCACTATGTTGGTCAGGCTGGTCTCAAACTCCTGACCTCAAGGGATCCACCTGCCTTGGCACAGCAAAGTGCTGGGTTTACAGGCATGAGCCACTGCACCCGGCCAGCATTTATTTTTTAAGTGATGATCATGTTCTGGAATTAGATGGTGGTGAACATTATATAACTTTGTGAATATAATAAAAACCACTGGACTTTATGGTATATAAATTATATCTCAATTAAAAATTTACTGAGGATATTTGTGTAGGTCTCTACTCTGTTATTCCGGCTTTTCTATTCTGTTTCATTGATCTTTGGTCTATCCTATCAATATTACACAACCTTGATTACTGTAGCTATATAGTAAGTCCTGAAATCAGGTAGAGGGATTCCTCCCATTTTTTTATTCAGTTTAGCTATTCTAGACTGTTTCCTTGTATTTCCATATATAATTGATAATAATCTTGACTACAGCTACAGAAAACCTTGCTGGGCTTTTGATAAAAGTTGCATTAAACTTGTAGATTAATTTGAGGGGAACTGACATCTTTACTATGTTGAGTCTTCAAAATCAATGAACACAGTATATCTCACTATTTTGGTCTTAGAGTTCTTTCATCAGCCTTTTGCAGTTTCCAGTATAAGTCCTATATATGTTTTGTTAGATATATACTTGAGTATTTCTTTTGAATGAACTGTTATAAATGGTATTGCATATATTCTCATGTGTTCATTGCGAGTATATAAAAATGCAATTCATTTTTGTTTGTTTGATTTTGTTTTGCCTTGTTTAGAGACAAGGTCTTGTTCTGTTGCCCAGGCTCCTGGCTAGAGTGCAGTGGCATGATCATAGCTCACTGCAACCTCAAACCCTTGGGCTCAAGCAATCCTCCGACCTCAGCCTCCGAGTAGCTGGGACTACAGGCATGCAACACCATTCCGGGCCTTTTTTTTTTTTTTTAAGAGATGGGGTCTTACTATATTGCCCATGTTTATAAGATTAAGTTCATCTTTTCTTTTATCTGAGTAGCATTTTATTGTATGATTATACCACCATTTATTTATCTCTTGGTTATTTCCAGTTTTGGGCTATAATCCAAAATGCTTTTTTCAAACAATAGGATATATATCATTAATGTTCATTTATCAGCAGTATAAAGTATCTTACCATAAATATTAAAGAAGCATTAATATATAAAATATAGATATTTCGTCTCTTTCTTTCTGCTGCTCAAGATGCCGAAAGGAAAGAAGGCCAAGGGGAAGAAGGTGGCTCCGGCCCCTGCTGTCGTGAAGAAGCAGGAGGCTAAGAAAGTGGTAAATCCCCTGTTTGAAAAACGGCCTAAAAATTTTGGTATTGGACAGGACATCCAGCCCAAAAGAGACCTCACCCGCTTTGTCAAATGGCCCCGCTATATCAGGTTGCAGCGGCAGAGAGCCATCCTCTACAAGCGGCTGAAAGTGCCTCCTGCAATTAACCAGTTCACCCAGGCCCTGGACCGCCAAACAGCTACTCAACTGCTTAAGCTGGCCCACAAGTATAGACCAGAGACAAAGCAAGAGAAGAAGCAGAGGCTGTTGGCCCGGGCCGAGAAGAAAGCGGCTGGCAAAGGGGACGTCCCCACTAAGAGACCACCTGTCCTTCGAGCAGGAGTCAACACAATCACCACCTTGGTGGAGAACAAGAAAGCTCAGCTGGTGGTGATTGCACACGACGTGGATCCCATTGAGCTGGTCGTCTTCTTGCCTGCCGTGTTGAAAAATGGGAGTCCCTTACTGCATTATCAAGGGGAAGGCAAGACTGGGACGTCTAGTCCACAGGAAGACCTGCACTACTGTCGCCTTCACACAGGTTAACGCGGAAGACAAAGGTGCCTTGGCTAAGCTGCTGGAAGCCATCCGCACCAATTACAATGACAGATACGATGAGATCCGCCGTCACTGGGGAGGCAATGTCCTGGGTCCCAAGTCTGTGGCTCGCATTGCAAAGCTAGAGAAGGCAAAAGCTAAAGAGCTTGCCACGAAACTGGGTTAAATTTACACTGTAAATAAAAATAAAACAATGAAAATTAAAAAAAAAAAATTTATAGATATTTCGAGGTCTACAGAGGGTCTTTTAATGATTAAATATTTCATCCTTACAAAAAGCTCCAGGTAATTTCACCTGTGAGGTTAACTTGCCTTAATGCAGGACTCAAAATAAGGCTTCTCCTGCCATCTCTCTCCATTTGTAGAACGTGAAATTCTTTCAAATGCATCCTATATTAGAACTACTACAGCTGTGCACTGGTGTTTGTTCTCTATTGTTTATATCTGCTCAAATTACACAGGTATACCTATGTTGCACTCCATCAAGTGTCAGGCCACATTCTATCAGCACAGTATGACTGTCAGTGACAAAGTGAGCTCTGTTTAGATCCCTCTTGCCCTGCCTTTTATATATATGATAGTATTATCATAAAATTCCAATATTCTTCAATAACTTGCATGTTGTGGTAGGGTAAAATTACTACCCTCATAGAACTATATAAAAATATAGAAAAAAATTTTCAGATTTAAGGAAAAAAATCTGATAATGGATATAAAAAGATGGATCAGGCTCAAGGCAAATTATTAATTAGTATTAGAAACCAACACCAACTGGTTCTTCAACCATTATCAAACACATTGATAACAGTATATGAAATGAAAGGATCTCACATAAATAAATCATGCAATAGCATTTGTCACTCGAGGTCACCTTTATGACAAGAAAAAAATATCCCAAGTTCTTCATATGTTTAATGAAGTTAAGTTTTATAAAATAGATGTACAATCCTTGCCACATATAATTTGGGGAGAGGAAAAAAAAACAGTAAGCACATGGAGGAGGGTGGAGAGACAAAAATAAATTAATAAATAATAACAATTTAAAAAAACAGGAAGCATAAAAAGAAAGTCTAAGATTATGGACAGAAAAAAACTCAAAGAAAATTTAAATCTAACAGCAAAAACCCCATAGCACTGAGTAAGTTATTACATAGAACATGAAGAACTAGCGTACATTCTGGAGGAAAAGTTTGTTAAATCCTATACTACTAATACTATAACAACTACATTGAATAAACTCACTGCCACTTAAATATAATTAGCACCATTATTTGAAAACAGAGACCAGAGAAAGCATCTATAAGACTTGAATAATTAAAAGCTGAAATTATGTGAAATCCTTTTACTTCAGGCAAGGCTGTGAATGCTAAAGATCTCACATTTTCTCAGTGACATGCAAGTAAATGAAAGTCAAGATAAGGTTTATTTGCACAACACGATGCACAACTGAAAGGGAGAAACTATTTAGATCACATTTTAGCATGCCCTCAAGTAAGTTGGTCAAAACATAATGAGATCAGTACCGGTGGTAAGAAAAGAGTAATAGAAAACTTCAGAAAAAGTGGGTCTTATAAAGGCTGTTACCTAAGTGTAGTAATGTAAAGTAATCACAGCACTCTCCACAGACAAGCAAGAATGTTAAGAAGATGCCAGCATGATTCTAGTTATCAATTGTATTAAGGCATGGTCTTTACATTTCAAACTTTACAGAGTTATCTGTAATGTTCCAGAATCTCCTCTTTCATTTGTGAAATCTGTTAGCTATCCAAAGGCAAGTTCTATTATAAATAGTCAACTAAGACCCAAAAAAACAAACTTATTTTTTGCTTTTGGTTAACAAGAAACTATTTTAGCTTAATTATAACATGGCTACACTAAAGTGTACCTTGCTAATATTTTTAATAACTTTGCAACATTAAGTTATGTCACCCTGGCTTGTCTTGAACTTCTGGCTTGCAGTTACCATGGTTTACAACTGCAAATAATGTCAATGATAAAATTTAACCAAAATCTGTTTATTCTAAAACTTTGAGTGAATAAAAAGGCAGGGATAGGCAATGAGGAAATGAGAAATTTTTAATGATGCAGATAATACATTCTAATATATAATGAAGACCTAAATTAGCTAAAAAGCATTCAACAATCACTCCAAACTAAGTATGAATTAATGGTTCTATCAATTCATTAATTCTATTAAATCTATTTGCAAATTAAAATTTCCTACTATTCCATTTTAAAGCTTTCCGCTATTCTCCATCTGTTATTTTAACTCAATGTCTCTCAGTTCTTTTCATTTGTAAAACAGAGATAAAAGTAACTACCTACATCATAGGGTTATTGTCACCCAGGCTGGAATGCAATGACATGATCATAGCTCGCTGTAACCTTGAGCTCCTAAGCCCAAGCAATCCTCCCACCTTAGCCTCCAGAGTAGCTGGGAGTACAGGTACATGCCACTATGCCTAATTGTTTTAATTTTTTTTTTTTATAGTTGAGGTCTCACTTTGTCACCCAGGCTTGCCTTGAATTCCTGGCTTCAAGCAATCCTTTCATCTCGGCCTCCCAAAATGCTGGGTTTCTAGGTGTGAACCAACCTGCCCAGACAAAAATAAAATTTTAAATAATAATGACATAGGTAGTTTCTCATAATAACGTAAAGAATATGTAACTGTGTCTTCCGGAAAGTTGAGGAAAAAAGCTTTGGAAGACCCATTCTGACTACCTAAAGGAAAGTCAGCATTCTAACTGTGCTTATAGAAGAGTCAGAACTCTTGAAGAAAGAAGCCTTAAAATCTAAGGTAGTAGGAAATATTTTAGGAAATAACTTAAGGTTTGTATTTTCTCCTAAAATTGTTAGAAGAAAAGAAATGAAGATCTACTTATATGCTCTTTAAGAGCTGAGAATAGCTTCTATAAAGTAGAATTTTAGACTTTTCTCCCCAAAGGAAAATAGGCATATTTACTGTAATCAACTTGTGTTAACATACCGTTAATTCTTCCAGAACTGTTACATGTCACCAAGCCAAAGCCAGTATGAAAAATATATTAAATGACTCTGGCAAAATAGGGTTTCCAACGGGGCAATGAAAAACATGAAATAACTCAGATGAAAGTTGGGATAGTATATAAAAATATGCAGATTATTTTTCAATGTGAAACCCGTAATACATTAAGAAAGAAATAAATCCTTTAAAGAAAAACCAAGTCCTTAACAATCAATCAATCAATCAATTCATTTCTTTTTTTTTTTTTTTTTTTTTTTTTGAGACGGAGTTTCGCTCTTGTTACCCAGGCTGGAGTGCAATGGCACAATCTCGGCTCACTGCAACCTCCGCCTCCTGGGTTCAGGCAATTCTCCTGCCTCAGCCTCCCGAGTAGCTGGGATTACAGGCACGCGCCACCATGCCCAGCTAATTTTTTGTATTTTTAGTAGAGACGGGGTTTCACCTTGTTGACCAGGATGGTCTCGATGTCTTGACCTCGTGATCCACCCACCTCGATCAATTCATTTCTAATGTAAGAGTGGGTACAACAAAATTTAAATGTATTTTATCAATATTAGTCATGCAAGATCTTAACATTTTACTTGTTTGCCTGCCCCCATAGCTAACTACTATACATCATTTGTTTCCATCTTTAAAATATTTGGTCATGGAAATTAAGCCTAAGAATACTGGGGGTTTTTTACCCCAAAAAACCTACCCAAGGTAAGTGTTACCCTAGGAAGATTGTGGTGCCTGGTCTTTATCCAGAATCTTGGTTGTGTCTGCTGCAAAGGAGAGAAAAACTGTCTTTATCAAGGCCAGAGGCAAGCACAGCATGACATGAAAAATCTAAAAGATTCTGAGTTAGGAAATCTTCTAAACGATCTCTCACCATTTAAGAGTCAGGAAAACTTCCCAAGGTAAATCCAGGGAAAAATCAAGAGTCTCTGTAAAATACATAGAAATATAATAAATTCACACCAGCCCTTGCCTTCAAGCAGAATACATTAACAATAAAAGTCAACTACAAGAGATATCAGAAAGCAAAACAAGATTAATTGCCACATGACTCAGAGACAATTAGGCTATTTCAGTTCAAAGCAGGGAATGATCATCATGAGCCAGAATAGCTGAGAAAGCTTCACTAAGGCTGAGAAGCAACTTAAGCTGTCAGGAGTAGGTGTTGGTACTGAGGATGGGGCAGATCACTCTGGCCCCATGTTTAGACTCCTGTCTTGGTTATCCTGAATCGAAGAAGGATATGGCGAAGGATGTAAATCCGACAGCTTTTATCAGCATAACACAACTAGCTTTAAATTGGCCACCTGTGTAAGAGTGGTGACTGTCCTAGATAAAGAAACAGTTTCCAAGGCAGAAAAAAAGAGATGACAATCAAGCAGAAGAAAAACACACACACAAAAAGCAACAGAACCACCACAAAGCAAAGTGATTCAAACACCCAACACTGGTTTCCTTGCCAAGAAACAAGTTAATTCCTATGCTAAGCACCTTTCCTCTGTTTTCACATTTCTTCTGTTTTCAAATGCTGAATTCATCAAGAAATCATAAAATCATACCACTTATAAAAATCAAGAAATCATAAATCAAAAACTTTAGTATCTCTGACAAGTTTTATAATGTCTCTTTTTTGTTGTATATTCTGGGGTGGAAAACTCTTTTGTCTTATTCCTGAATCAAGAAAGTAGAAACCTTTGCCAGAATCATTTACACCAGATACGTGAATCTGCATTATCAGATCACATTTGTAAAAGCAGAAACATCCTGTCTAGAGACTCTCCTTAGAGAATGACTGACCTGCCTTGGCCTAAAGACAGCTTTCTCCCCCACTTCCAAGCACAATCTTCCTGTTTTCTCAGCCCCATCTGAACTCACTCAGCCAAACAAAGAACCACTCAAAGAAAATTTCACAGAATACTAACTTTAATAATTTCTAGCCAAATCAACACAAACTGTGGCTCTAGCCTAGAATAAACTGCTACAAGATTCTGTTTTTTTGGGGTTTTTTTTTTGTTTTTTTGAGACTTTCATTCTTGTTGCCCAGGCTGGATTGTAATGGCATGATCTCAGCTCACCACAGCCTCCGCCTCCCAGGTTCAAGCGATTCTCCTGCCTCAGCCTCCTGAGTCGCTGGGATCACAGATGCCTGCTACCACACCCGGATAATTTGTATTTTTAGTAGAGGTGAGGTTTCACCACGTTAGTCAGGCTG